GTGTTACTTGTCATTGGATAGATAGTGATTGGATTATGCATAAACGTGTTCTTGCATTTCGTGATTTCAATGATCAGCATACTGCTGAAAATATTTTCCTATTGCTTCAGAGTATTCTGCGGGAATATAACTTATCTGAAAAAGTTTTTTCATTTGGTTTTGATAATGCTACTAATAATACTGCTGCTATTCCTAGACTTAGAGAAATTTGCCCACCGTCTACGACTATGGGTAGATTTCTGCATCAACGGTGTGTCTGTCATGTTTTAAATTTATGTGTTCAACAGGGACTACAAGCTATGGGCGGAGTTTTGACAAATATTAAAGAAGGAATTAAAAAAATTTGGGGGGCTCGTCTTATTTCGAGGTCCTCGAAGATGTTCTGTAAGTCTAAGGGTAAAAAAGAAATAAGTTTTGCCAGAGATATCAACATTAGATGGAATAGTACTTACAAATTGATTGCACAGATCCTAAGATATAAAGAGGACCTTGCTGAATATTTTAGGGATGAACTTCGTATAATCATTAATCCTTTTGAATTTGTTATTGTTGAAAAATTGAATGCCGTATTAGAAGTTTTTAATAACCCAACTCTTACTTTTTCCCATGTTTACCAACCAACTACAAATACATTTTTTAAAGAGTGCATTACAATCGCAACATGTTTTCGTGAAAGTATGGTTGATCCAGATTTGTACACTTATGTCTCTCCCATGAGAGATAAATGGTGTATTTATTATTTGTACATTCCTGATATTTATAAAATAGGTATTATTTGTGATCCACGATTTAAGATTGAAAATTTTAAAATTCTAATTGAGTATTACTACAGTTGTTTTTTAGATAAAAATAGTTATTACTACAGCTATTTAGTAGAATGGAAAAATGAAAGAGATAATGTTATAACTCTTTTTGAGGATTTGTTTAAGGAATATCAAGGGTTATACGGTACTGTACAAGAAGAAACAGCACCACCTCCGCCCCCGAAATCAAAAAAAGGTTTTGCCGGCATAGTCGGTGGGCTTCTTGCAAAGAAAGGGAAACGTGCCCAGTCTTCGACGAGTTCAAGTGGTACAACAGTAAGCTTGCACAACGAACTTGCTATGTACCAGGGTGTGCCATGCGATTACGATGACGACGATGTCGATTTTGACGTGCTCGGATGGTGGAAGCGGAACGAACACATGTTCCCATGTCTCGGCATGCTAGCAAGACAAGTGTTGTCTGTCCCAGTATCAACCCTAGCAGTTGAACGAGAATTCAGTGCTGGCGGCAACATTCTAACGGACTACCGAAGTTGTCTTAACGCTGAATCTCTTGAAACACTGGTTTGCAACCAAGATTGGCTTTTGGCAAGACGTCGGGCTCAAGAGTCATCGTACCAACTCGAATCGGAGCATTACATGAATGCAACCACAGATGGAAGTCCGAGTTCTGAAGAATAAGTTATAAATTTTTTTTATGTTAATGTAAATATGTAATTAATTTTTTTAGGTGAGCGATATATAAGCTCCTTCGAGAGTTTCTTTACGGTTCTTTACCTCGTCGCTTTTTTTGAACCGTCAGGATATTAAATGTGGTTGTTCTTCAGTTAGTGTATTACTCATTTTCAATATTTAAATAACTACATTTTTAGATTTTTTATTTCATTCTTTCCTTAAACAATTACAAATTTACAATTTTATAATTTAAAAATTTAAAAAAAAAATAGGGGGGGGGGGGGGGGGG